CCAATTAACCAAGATCATTAACTGTTGAGGCCACCTACTTTCTCATCAGAATGGACTGATCTCTCTACTACTAATAGGACAGTTCTATAGAGTTCTGGGAGATCAGGTGACCATCACACTTCCGTCTCTCTACCGGAAGATACAGTTGGACTTTATACTCTTTCTGATTGTTACTGACTAACCTGCGTTCGTTTGACTACTAATCTCTCTGTTGTAAATACCTCTTCAGATATACCAGTATTTTTCCCTACGTATGTGTTTGTCCTTATTTCAATACACGCACGGGGAAACACTCAACATCTCATTAACAAACTCATTATACCATACATACCTAATAATACATCATTAAATCAACTCATGAACTAATGCAAATCTTAAAAACACACAAACTTAATAATGAAACCATAGCCTCGCTTGATGTTGAAAGTTTATTTACCAATGTTCCAGTTAGGGAAATGGTTGATATACAGTGTAACCCGGATATAAGAGAGTTGTCGGTACCGGAGAAGAAGTCTCCTATATCCGGGTTTCTCTTATATCCGGGTTTGGTCTATTTTATATACATTAACACAGGCTCTAATTTGGGACCAGAGAAAATCTCTCTTATATCAGGGTTTCTCTTATATCCGGGTCTCTTATATCCGGGTTACACTGTAATTATAAAGAATATTTACAACAATCCATCTCTCCTTCCATTAAAAATTAGAATTAACATATTATGGAAATTACTTTTGACTTGTACCACTGAGGTTCCATTCTATGAGCATGAAAATAATATATGCGTACAATGTGCTGGTGTTTCCATGGGTTCAATTCTGGGACCAACATTTAGTAACATCTACATGGTTAACCTTGAAGATAAGATATTTAATACCACTAAAAGCCCTCCATATACCCAAGATATGTAGATGATATTCTCATCTTAGTTAAAAATATAGATGAACTACAAAAAACTCCATTCTTAAGTTCACATATGAGCTTACTTTTCTTTATATATCGATAGACACCAATAGCAATACATTTACTACCAGCCTATATAAAAAAAAACTAACTAACTAGCATAGACACGTGCACTCTCAAATATAAAAGTGAATGTCCTATTACAAAATAGCTATTATACAAAATTTAATAAACCGGGCAACTGTTCCAAGAAAAACATTTTCTACACTGAATTAAAAAAAAAATTAAACAAACTCAAATTAATAATGACTTACCTAGTTACATTGTAAATGAACAAATTAGACGAAATATTAAAAATACTAACATAAATCAAAAAGGACATAATACTTCCTCAAATAACCCTAAAGATATCAGCCTACTGTACCGCAATCATATACACTCTAACTACAAGCAAGATGAAAAAAATCTTAAAAAAACTCATGTCTTCCACTGATCCGAGTAAAAAATAAAACTAATTATATACTATACTAAATTTAATACAACCAACTTAATCACCCACAATAACTCTTTTCCGTCAAGTAATATTTTGCAAAAAAAACAACATTCTATATCAATTTAAATGTCCTTTAGGAGATTGTATCTTTGACAAAAAAGTAAATATATATGTTGGTTTCACGACAACAATATTATCGAGGAAATTTATATTACATATGTTTGATTCAAGTTCTATTGCACAATATTTAAAGGAACATTTCTGTTCTTATTCACAATTTAGACAAATATTAATTGACAATACAAGTATACTCCACCATGAAAATAAAAACATTTAAATTCTTGAAGCCCGCTATATAAGTAAACTACAACCAAGTGTAGAGTAGTATAGTATAGAATAGTATATGAGTATAGGAACAATGTTTAAAAAAGTCTATAACAGCAAACTTTTTAAAATACCTAAATTGTAATTTTAAAAATATTACAATTATAACAGTAATGTTTTAAAATACTTAAAGTGTAATTTTTAAAGACATTTTACAAATATGAATTAAGTTACCTCTCTTAGATAACGTTAATTTTTGAATTAACAGAGCGCATTTCATGCACATTTACAAAAAAGAATCAAAACTATCAGTTATATTAATTTTATGTCTTAGCAATTCACTTTTGAAGATGATGTTAGATGAGATTGAAAGTACTTGGAAAAATGAAAGGAATGAGAAAAACTACGGCTCCTTCTTTAATGAGTTTAATAACAACATTAAGAAATTGATCTGTGAATTTGAGAGAGTTAAAATAAAAATAAATAGACATATGTCTAGATTATTCAACCAAACATGCTTGAATGAAGATGTGCTGCCTATATATATATATATATATATATATATATATATATATATATATATATATATATCTAATAGATGAGGCTGACCACAATTTTGATATAAAAAAGCCACTCTAATTAAAAGAGAAAGCAATTCACTAACACGAAAATGCTTAGAAAGTGCATTGATCGTTAGTTGATCCACAGTAAATTTGCGTTCATGTTCTTACAATGTTTCGCCATTCTTGACAGATCTTTTATCACAATGTGGGATATTTAATAACAAAGATTATGGAAACAAAAGCAAAAACAAAAAGAATCTAAATTAAATTGCTATGATTATATACCCATAGAAAACTTTGTCGTATAGGATTTTTGCCGTAAGACAATTTTGCCGCATTTTTTTTTCTATACCCTTTATCTTGAACATCCCTTTTGGAGTAATGTTCAATTTAATATACGAAGTACCTTGTTATCAATTATATATAGATGCCTTTTTTACAGGGTCAAACATCAGAAAAGAAATTAAAAAGTAAACATTTACTTAAAAAATAAGACTAAAAATATATCAAATTAACAAAGAAATAATTTAAAATGTGTGCAAATTTAAAGCAATGCTTCGTAAATAATGTGTTTTTTGCGTTGGACTGTAATGAAGCATTTTCCGCAGAAGTCTTGCATTGATATCAATACAGTGTAACCCGGATATAAGAGACCCGGATATAAGAGAAACTCGGATATAAGAGAGATTTTCTCTGGTCCCAAATTAGAGCCTGTGTTAATGTATATAAAATAGACCAAACCCGGATATAAGAGAAACCCGGATATAAGAGACTTCTTCTCCGGTCCCGACAACTCTCTTATATCCGGGTTACACTGTATATATTTTCTTCATTTGTACTGCATCTCCTCGATCTAAGTCACATTTTTTTCTTTTTTGCTAATTTCTCTTCCTTTTTCAAACACGCAATTAGTTTCCACAAATTTCTGTGCATGTTAGTATAACTTCGCTTATTAAAATGTTTAAATCGAAGTAACATCGTGTGAGTCAGATATACTTGATAACAAGTTACTTCGCATATTAAAAAAAATTAGGCGAAATTGTCTTCCGGCAAAAATCCTGTACGGCAAAATTTTCTACGATGAAATTTCCTGAGCCGAGTTTTCCTACGGCAAAAATGTTTACGGCGAATGTTCCTAGAACCCGTTTTCTCATGAAGACAAGAGTAAAAAATCCGGAAATATGATTACCCCACTTGATTTCGTTAAACGCCATTAGATGGCATTGATTAAGTAAATTAAAAAAAAACAACATTTTCCTGCCTCAGTCTACTTCTCTCCTTTGATCCAAGATGGAGCAGAACGTCGAAAATAGACGGTCCCGTTAGTTTCTCCGGTTCACTGACGACTGACTCTCTCTTTCCACTTTCCAAAGCATGGTGTTCGCAAATGGCTTCCAAAACTCTCGAATGATGAAGTAAAACATTTTCTTTCGTTGTTGCAAATCTGCGCAAGGCCGACTTGAGCTCGACCTTTAATACGATGCTTATACTTACTCTAACTTCTGGACCAAAAAAGAAAACGAATACCCCCTAACCATGTTTAAGCCCTCCAACGATAAAGTAAGTACAATCATTTCTTTGGTTGTTCTAAATCTGCACAAGGTGAACTTGAACTCAACCGTTAATACAATGCTTATATTTACTTATACTAGCTTCTGGACGAAAAAAGAAAACGGACATTCCCAAGTGACATTGAGAACTTTGTTTCACTACAGTTTATATATAAAAAAGATAAAAGAAAGGCCTGTGGTAGAAACTTTTGCTTCTTCTCTTGGTTGTTTACATATAAGAATGCAGCCACCAAAAATGCACCAAAAATGCACTACAACAACAACCTTCGGATTCCATAAAGCCATATTGAAATGTGTAAAACCAGTTTGCTTTTGTTTTATAGATACCCTTTCAAAAAGAACAAACATTTTACCAAAAACATTTAAATTGTTTTAAATGCGTTTTTAAGGCTTTCAACTTATACTTAATAAAGAGATAGGTGAAATTTCTGGAGTGCATTATGAGGAAGAAATGCTTGGAATTTTGATACCCACAGGACGGATAGAGAGCAAAAATGACAGAAACAAACAACGCACAAAATACAAAACCAGCTTGAGTAAATAGATGGCAGAACAGAGTTTAGGAGAAATAAGGAATTTACTTAGAGCTGCAAAAGAGAGGAAATTGTGGAGAGCCATAATCGCCTACGACCCGAGTTCAATTTTTGTAAGGAACTACTATTAAAAATATATCTGCTTTAATCCAGCTACTGGAACTAACGGCACAAAAACGCGAGGTTTTATATATATATATATATATATATATATATATATATATATATATATATATATATATATATATATATATATATATATATATCAGAGCCGAGTTCGAATCCCAGTCGAATCCATTACATTCACTTACGTGCTAATACCCTTGGGAAAGGTATGAATCCTCTTCTTCTCCCTCCAGCTATGGGTAAAATAGCAGGACAGACTGGGTTCTATAGCTTTGGATGGCAACTGGTTTAGGAGAAGGACAACTCTGAATTCAAAACCTGCGGAGGGTCGTTTGGGGACCTTGTGGCACCTAGTGCACCAGGTCTCTGAATTCGGCCCCTTCAAAAAGTGTGGCTGGTCTTGCACAAAGCCTTCACCACTATAATCAAATCTCATGTGCTGTTGTCGGGCTGTCGGTTTCCTGGAAACTGATCTGCTTGACCCTCATACGTCGAATTTGACGGGAGAGTCGACTATATATATAATAGATAGATAGATAGATAGATAGATAGATAGATAGATAGATAGATAGATATGAACAGACTTTAATATGAAGGCACGAGATAGATAGATAGATAGATAGATAGATAGATAGATAGATAGATAGATATGAACAGACTTTAATATGAAGGCACGAGATAGATAGATAGATAGATAGATAGATAGATAGATAGATAGATAGATAGATATGAACAGACTTTAATATGAAGGCACGAGATAGATAGATAGATAGATAGATAGATAGATAGATAGAATAGATAGATAAGAAACGGATTGATACAGTGATAAAATAGAGGGTGTATTTAGATAATAAAATGAGATTGAGCTTCAGAGTTAGAGATAAGGAGAATGATTAAAAAAACCTATGTGCCTACGAAGAAACATCGAGGTGCATTTATTTTCCGCCTGAAAAATAAATCCTTTTATATTTTTTCGTATTTATTTAATTTTTCAGTTCGACTCCCTGTTGCAAAAGAAACCGAAAAACATTGCAAAAAGAAAAATAAATTAACTAACATAAAGACCGATAACACTTACTGCTACGGGTTACCTGAAAACAAGTGTCATCCTCGACCCCTTGAGAAATCAGAAAACTTGTCTTTATATTTATCTATTCACGGTGAATGTTAAAAATGGTTTTGTCGTGTTCGTGTGTCTTGCTAAGAGGCTAGTTGGCCTTTCTTCTCTGTCAAATGATGTCACGTATCGTTGACACTTATGCCCATGACATTTTCTGGACAGCATTTATAAACAAGTCAGTGTCACATAGTCTACAGTTCTTCTGTTTCTTTCCATCGGTGCACAACTCGAAGGTAAGTTATTTTTTTATTGAAAATATATCGATTCTTTTGTTTAAACATAAATCTGCTGATTGTCAAAGAATTTTTTTCCTTAAAAAGAAAAATGTTCGCAAGCATGTGTTTATCTTCATCCCCTTCTTTAGGACATTTAGAATCCGCTGTGGTGTATAGGGTTAAAGATTCCCCATGGTTAGGTCCTACTGCGGTGGTTTTCTTTCTTTCTTTCTTTTCTTTTTTTTTTTTTTTTTTTTTGTGGTGTTTAGAATTTAGGGTAAAACTTGTAGACTAATTACCCCCACTAAGGCTAGATAAACCAGTCTATACACAGATAGAGGGAAGAAGAGAAGAATTCAGGTCTTTTCCAATATAATTTATACGAAAGTTAACGCACACACACCAACCCAAAATTTGAACTTAGAAATCCGATTCTACTTTCCATATGAGATATTGAGAAGGATGGTTGTAAATGGGCTCATAAGTATAAACATACTGAGATAGATAGATAGATAGATAGATAGATATATATATACATACTTTGATATGTTCATATATATATCTATCTATATATATATATATATATATATATATATATATATATATATATATATATATTTTTTGCTTTCATATATATGTTTGAAAAATAAAATTTTAGCTATCTATTTTAAATCTAACCATATTTTTAAATCAATTATAATATTAATGCTCTGTAAATTTACATTGAGCACTATTTTGTAAAAATAAAATATCTATAAGAACACCGGATTTTATATATATATATATATATATATATATATATATATATATATATATATATATATATATATATATTTATATTTTCTATCTATCTATATATATATATCAGTATGTTCATATACTTTCTATCTATCTATCTATCTATTTCAGTATGTGATAGAAAATATGTGAACATAATGATATATATATATAGAGAGAGAGAGATAAATAGATAGATAGATAGATAGATAGAAACAAACAATATGAACAAATTTGATGAATAAATTTAGATAGATAGATAGATAGATAGATACATACATACATACATACAAACAATATGAACATACTGAGGAAATAGATAAAAGCATATATTTAATGAATATATCTCATACTTTTATTTTTATATTTATGCAAAAATTTGTTTCAAAGTCAGTCATAATTTTGTGTTATAGATTGGTAGATATGGCTATTTTTTACAAATAATGTTAATTTTTAAACCCAATTCGAAAATATTGCCCCATTTGAACAATTATTATATCAACTGAATGACAATAGGAGAGCTGCTCGAATGTATGAAAAGAAATAAATCACGAAATATAATTTGTTAATAGCTGTAATACAAAACAGTACAAACTCCAAATGACCTCATAAACTATAATACATTTTTAATTATGACTTTTTCTACTTGTAAATGAATGTTTTTGCCCCTTTTTCCACACATGAAATTTTGAATCTATGAATGTCATTTACATAGCTAAACTTCATAGTCTCTTGCGGGTGTTTAAAATTTGAGGGAAAAATATTCGATTACCTATAAAAAAAAATATGGCCGTGTATAAGCCTTAGACCTCCTTGCCTAAGTCAAAGCGTCCTGGGTATGACGATGAACTATGTCCTGCAACTAGGCGTCTAATCGGGAGGTTTTGAGGCGCGTGGAACCACCTCTTAATTGCTGTTGTTCCCAGGTCTACCCTGACCCGGGGTGCTAACAATTGTTAGGATCCCGGCCATGGGACATCAGTTTGGGGACTAAAACACTATGAAAGTATAAACATAGATGTTTATAGTAAAAATACGAGCAATACATTTTTTAAACAAAACTATTACCAGCAATATATTATTCAATAATATTCAAGAAAAAATATTACCAGCAAGATATATGACTCTCGGAAAAAAAAACCCTCGTTACAAAAAAAAAAAAATACGTCAATGAAACCTAACCTACAAACTGATTTCTTACATGAATAAATATTCTATTCATACGAAACTATCCTAAAAATATTGTCGGCATTAAATAACCCATTGAGGTATTGATATGCTGTAAAACAAAATAAACCAAACCAATCTGCTTACATTTTGGAATGCATCTTTGGCTATCCCGAAACACCTTTAGATTCCAGTGTCTTCCTCCGTTAAAGCACTTTCTATATATTTAGTGTACGTAAATGTGTTGAATTAAGTGCATTAAGTGCAAAAATCAAAGGCCACCTTAAACTATAATATTTTTGTAATAAATTATTTAATTTTTACACTATTTACATTGTTTGGATTGTTGCCCTCATCTTCATTGTCATATCCATGACGTTTCGGCTGTTGTACGCGCAGGTCTTCTTCAGGTGATATAAGTTGGAATTTCGAACCGAGCCTTTTATTTAGTCAAAAGTGGTAGATTGTTCTAGTTCTACGTGCCACGCCTTTTCTGGATATCTCAGCTTCAGCTAATTCCCGTATATCACCTGAGGAAGGCCGGAGCGCACAACGTCCGTAACGTTGTAAATATGGCAATAAAAATGAGGACAAAAGTCCGAACAATGTGAATAGTTTAAATAATTGCAATACCTCATCTGAGAAATATAGATAGAAATTATCTATTTATAAATGAATGTTTTGTACAACTTTTTCACGGATGGTACGTTGAATCTACGGGTGTCAATTACATAACTAATCTTCATAGTCTGTTACGGGGGAATTTACGGGAAACAAATATTCACTAATCTAACAAGGTATAAGTTTCAGGCCACTTAGAGAAGTATAAGTTTTCAGCCACTTAGAGAAGTAAAAGGAAGTGACATCGAAAAATTTGCATTTTAGCGCTATTATTTTTATTTCTTTCGGCATAATTTGCGTTAACAAATTATTAGAATTCTTTAATCTTTAAAAAAAAATGAATGAAGATCGTGGAAATGTCTGAGAATATGAGCCAGAGAAAAATAACGTTTCGAGAAACTGGAAATGTATCGGATTGGTCAAGATCTGGTTGTCCTCGAAAGCTACAACAAAGGACAGTCCGTAAATCGATTTGAACAGAAAAAAAATCAGAAATGACTGCAAGGCAACTGATGGTTGAATGGAACCTATTCAATTTGATGTCGGTAGACACCGTTAAACGCATTCTCCGAGAAAAATGCATTGGAGTATACCGCTGCTAAAAGTCTAGCGTTAAGCAATACAAATTTGACGACGAGATCAGTGTGATCAGAAATGCGTGAAATCTGGGACATATTTAATTGAAGCAAAATCGTATTGAACATTGAAACAAACACTGAATTGCATTCTAACAAGATAGAATTTGTTATGAGGTCAAAAAGAAAAAGAAATGGTTTCCTCTGTACAGCAAAAGTAGTAAAGCTTGGAGATATATTTTTAAAAATGCTGTTTCTGTCTGTCTATCTATTTATCTATCTATCTATCTGTCTATCTATCTATCTAGCTAGCTATGTTCATATTGTTTCTTTCTTTATCTATCTCTATATATATATAATCTATATATCTCAATATGTACATATTGTTTCTGTTTATCTATCTATCTATCTAGCTAGCTAGCTAGCTAGCTATCTATCTGGGTTTATACCTATCAGCCTCTTAACAGGTATCCTTCTCAATATATTCTTGTCTAATATAAGTGCGAAAGGATAAAGAATGACCTCTTTATACGATAAAAGCAGTAAAGTTTGGAGACAAGAATATAATGCTCTGAAGATATATAAAAAAATGATGGTTCTAGAAAGTAGACGAGAACTTAATGTTGCTGAAAAAACACTTGATTCCTAATTTTTCTTTTTAGCATGGACACAAAGCGCCATGCCACAAAGCGCGTACAACTCAATAATATCTAGCATTCGAAAATATAAAGCCATTAAAATATATACCCATTAAAATATAAACCCATTAAATATAACCACATTAAAATATAAACCCATAAAAAGATTGGCCAGCACAAAATCCGGATATAAAAATTTAAATTATCGAGCAAATGTGGGCAGAATTAAAGAGAAGACTTCATCTAAAGAATCCATGTAATATTAGTGAATTATGTGAGCACAGCCAGAGGGAATTGAATCGTACACCCGCGAAATTAACAAAGGATTTTTTCCTCAGCGGATTAAAGTCATTATTCTACTCAAATGGTGGTGGTGGTGGGGAGGGGGTTTCATATGAAATACTAACAAACTAGTATTTTTACCTTTGGAATACACTATAATTTTTTCTTTTTCTGATTAAAAAAAAAAAATATTTACCTGACTCAGGTTTGGTTTGGTTTGGTTTGGTTTGGTTTGGTTTGGTTTAGTTTGGTTTGGTTTGTTTTACGGCATGTTACCGTCAATGGGTTATTTAATACCGACAATTTTTATTGCTGGTAATCTTTTTTCCAAAAATATATTGCTGGTAATATTTTTTTTTTTTCAAAAATGTATTGTTGATATTTTTTTCCAAAAATGTATTGCTGGTAATATTTTTTTCTTCAAAAATTATTTGCTGGTAATAATTTTTTACAAAGTATTTCTGGTATTAAAACCTATTTTTACACTTTCATAGTGTTTTGACCCCAGTTTGGGGGTTAACTATTTGCCCATAGCAGAGCCCCTAACAGGTGCTACAACCCCGGGTCAGGGTAAACCTGAGAACACTAGCAATTAAGACGTGGTTCCACACTCCTCAAAACCTGATCAAAGGCCTTGCTGTCGGATGTAATTTATTGTCTTACCCAGAACGTGGATGTAGTTTATCGTCATGCCCAGGACGTGGTTTGGTTTGGTTTATTTTGTTTTGCGGCCTATCAACCTCAATGGGTTATTTAATTCTGACAAGATTTTTAGGATAGGTTCGTATGAATAGAATATGTATTCTTTGAAAGAAATCAGTTTGTAGGAAATCAGATTTCATTGACGTATTTTTGTAAAGAGGGTTTTTTGTCGATAATCAAATGTATTTATACTGGTTTGCTAACTTTTTTTAAGGCAGCGTAGGAAATGTTCTCTAACAGGGGACGTTTTATGCAGCAAAATAATTATTTTCAACATAACTACCTTCTTTGTTAATGCACTTAATTCAACGCATTTACGTACACTAAATATATTAACGGAGGAAGACACTGGAATCTAAAGGTGTTTCGGGATAGCCAAAGATGCATTCCAAAATGTAAGCAGATTGGTTTGGTTTATTTTGTTTTACGGCATATCAACACCTCAATGGGTTATTTAATGCCGACAAGATTTTTAGGATAGTTTCGTATGAATTGAATATTTATTCACGTGGCAAATCAGTTTGTAGATTAGGTTTCATTGACGTATTTTTTTGTAACGGGGGTTTCTCTCTCTCTCTCTCTCTCTCACTCTCTCTCTCTCTCTATCTATCTATCTATCTATCTATCTATCTATCTATATATATATATATATATATATATATATATCATATAAAATGGACTGATGAAACACTTCGGGTCTGACTCATTTTCCAAAATTAGTATTTCAATGACCAAACATCAAAATACTGATTTTTGGAACTATATATTTATTGTACTTTCAATATGATTCTGGCACAAGGCCGAAAGGAAGTGGGGCGATGCTGATCCTCACTGACTATCCTAAACGTAGCTAATACGTTTAGTGACCCATTCATTCATTACAATTTAATAATTCACCAGAAGAACACACCCCTCTTCACCCAGTCCTACATTTATCAAAATACCACATAGTTACAGGGGAACCTACTAAAACCCCTCACTGATTTTTGGAGCTGAATCTAAACAATAACTTTCACTGCCCACTCGTAGATTTAATTATTTTTCAGAGTTTTCTGCAGACACATAAACATTGAGCATTATATATTAAATGTGGATGTAGGTGTAAGCGTATTTGTATGCGTGTGCAGGTGTGTCCTTATGAGTGTGTGTGAGAGATACAAAACCGATTATAAACAAATTATATTTTTTTTTATTCACGCTATAAAATTTCCTACACGCAAGTGTATCAATCAAGAAGGCTTTAAACCGTGTTCTCAATTATGATTTCCAGTACGTAAACGGAAGTCGAGAGAAAAT